AGTTATCTGAAATATTAAATTCGACCTTTATGGTCACTAATTCCTCCTCACAGAAATACTCCAGCCAGTTAAAAGAATAAAATATTTAGTAAAACAGTATTTAGCAAAGTGTTATCAAATAAGGAAGACCAAACTATATCAGTTTCACAGAGTTTTGAACATCATAAAGAGAAAAAAAAATCCATGTAACATTAAGTTTGCATACTTCTTCTGGTTATTAGTTATTTTTTCTACAATTGATTTTAATGGTGCAAGAGAATACAGTTTCTTTGGCAAATATGCCCATTTCAATCAATTAAAAGTAACAAAGCTTAGAATTTAGTAACTTAAAGTTCTCAAGTTATTCTATTAATGTTTTTTTAATGAGAAATGCTTTTAACAATACATCTAAATATCTTAAAGTTAATTTTGTATTAAAAACTGTTTTACGTTACAGGATTTTGTTAAATGTTATTTTGGAAGTTATTTTCAAAGCTTATACAAAAATAAAACAATTTAATTCTGACCAATTCAAACAGCAGTCTTACACAATATTAACTTTGACAGCTCAAATACATCATCTACAGCCATATACATGTCTAACTCATACAAGACTTTACATGAAAATAACAAAAAAAAAGATTCTGTTACAGCTACACATAGTTTTAATCTGAAAAGGTATGCATGTTACAATAAGGCGAAGCCCCGAGGTCTGGATCTAGGTGGACAGCCTCATATTACCCAGTGACAAAACAAATACATCTGAAGCTAGCAAAAACTTTGACAACAAAAGTGTAATATATAATTATGCATGAAATTAATGACCACAATCAATCTTAATACAACACCATGGTAAAAACTAATCAGAATGGCTACTATTTCACAGCTATAAACCAATTATAAAATCCTTTCTAAACATTAAAAACATAATTGTTTCTAATCACCTGACAGGCGTACTTCATGTACTATTAATCAAATCACTCAAAGTTTGACTTTTAACTTGCAAACATACTTGACATTTAGCCAAAATGAGATAAAGCACAAGTAAACAGTCACTAAAGTTTAATTAGCTTAGTTGAGCTCTTACAGAATAGCCAGTTGCAAATAGAAGGATCATAAACCCTCAACGAGAGTCGAATTAGCAATACAGAACTCTGCGAGTCTAGTCAGTTCTGAAGTAAACACGTAATAACATTGATCTAGCTCATTGGAGTCCTTCAAGTCTAACCAATGGTGATGTAGAGTGAGTAAACATTTACTAACGTTGAACTAGGTAAGTGGAGTCCTTCAAGTAGAACCTACAGTGATATAGAGTGAGTAAACTTTTACTTAAATTGAATTATTGTTTAAAAAGAGCTTTTTGAGCCTAGCTACTCATTATGGAGAAAGGAAGACATTAAATGTTTTTATATCAACTCAAAGTTTGATTTATTGCATATATGATATTTGTTTGTTTGGTTTGTGAATTTCATGCAAAGCTACACAAGGGCTATCTGTGCTAGCCATTTCTAATTTAGCAGTGAAAGACTAGAGGGAAGGCAGCTAGTCATCACCACCCACTGCCAAATCTTGGGCAACCAATGAGTAGTGTGATTGACCATTACACTATAACGCCCACATGGCTGAAAGGGCGAGCATGTTTGGTGGAACGGGGATTCAAACCCACAACCCTCGGATTGCAAGTGAGCACCCAAACCACCTGGCCATGCATATGATACAAAATAACTCTGTACAATTATAACAGTAAACTCACTTATTTTAAGAAATATTCCCATAAACTGAATACGTGTATGTGTATTTTTCCGTGCAAATACTTAATTATTTATGTGTATATGTTTAATTTCTCTTCGTTTTGTTGTTGTGACAAAGATGAAAACATTATCAAATTTCTTGTTTTTCAGAAAATGTCTCAAAAATTCATATAAAAAAGGGTGTATTAAATGATGGCTAGATTACGAAATCAGGTAACTTGATGCACTGAATTAAACTATTAAAATAGTCAAGTTTTTATAGACACAGCCTTTCAAATGTAGTGAACCTGGCTCGACATCAGAGAGGAGAAATATTTGATGTAAAACTGAATTAGATTTTTTAAGATCATGGAACAAAGTGAGCTATTTAAAAGACACCCTTAAAACAAAATAAGTATCTGTTAAAAAAATGTTTTTCATCACCAAAATATCTTTGTTTTGAAGTTGCCCAAATCGAGGCTGAGAAATCCTTGAAACATACAGATTTAGAAGTGATATGTTATTTTGTTGTAAACAGTATATACTAACCCTTGGGGAAACCAAAAAAAAGGTATTCAAAAGACTGAAAATATAAATATAATTGATCAAGAACTAGGAAACTGAGTTTCTACGAGGGCTGATATATGTATTCGCAAGTTTAAATGTTATCTAAAAGCTTTTGTAATGCTGAATCTTTTTTTTTTGAAGTGTTTTCAGAAACATGAACAACTAACGAAAAAAAGTTTGTTGAACATATGGGAGACATTAATTTGTTGGAATTCTTGTATAATGACTATACATTAATTAAATCTATTCCTATTCATTTAAAAACCCTTTATTATTGTCAATTTTTTTTTTGTCTCCACAAAACCTCAAAATGACATTAATAGCTAGAAGTATGACCAAATTATTGGGGTTTATTTTATGCTTCTGACCCTATACATGCGCAACCATACATAAGGTCTTCTAGACTCCCCTCTTATATTCTACATAGCTTTTGTTTTTTAGACAAGTCACTTGATGTACAGAATGTGTGCAACATATACCAACTTCCTAAACATAATCTGTGTTTAGCTACTTATTAATAAAAAAATACAAAATAAATAAAAGCCTACGAAGAAATGTAATTCTCCAAGCATTTTAAATAGCCATTTCCTTCAGTTTTTAAAAACTGATCATGATTAAGCAGTAACACAGATCTTTAAAGAAAAAATCCAACGTCTGTGTTCCTTAACATTTACAGAGGTGTCATTTTTAATCTAAATATAACTAAGCAGCATGTTTATGAATCAATTCGTTTTTCATAAACACACACACACAATACTGGTAGGTAATAAGAACAAAGCATACTTACACTGCACAGTGAAGTGGAGAGAACTTATTTCCAATAAAATTAGAAATCTTGCAGTGCTCGAGAAGAAGTTCTACACAGCTTTCATGACCTGAAACAAATCAGGTGCCATGAAAATGGTTATGTGCTTAAAGAAGCCTATTTTGAGCTTGCTTTAATCTTCTTCATTATCAAAAACATGGCTCTAGAAACAAACGCTTGTACTAACACCAAACGTGCGTGCACAGTGAAATGTAAAGATCTACTTTCCTCAACAAATAATATGTCTGAAAAATGCAGCTTAGAACTTCACTATAACAAAGAAGTCAATTAAAAGTTATAAAAACACTTAATAAAATTAGTAGCAATAATAATTTGGAAGTCTTTTCTCCCATGGAGTCAGAGAGCTTTCAAAAGTCCACCTTGGCATGATTTAAGACATAAAACAAATCAGTGCAACTAAACAACTCATTCAACGTGCAATAAACCAGAAAAAAAAAGATATTTAATTATTAACTACTACATATTAAATATTTAATTTCAGCAAAGTATGTTGTCAATAAATTACCCATCTGAAATGTTTTCCAGTGTTTTTATTTTGAAAACACACAGATGTAGAGTAACCTATTGTACACATAAACCTAGCTTGGATGGGAAAAATGTTGTGATTTAAGTTTGAAAATTATTTTCCCTTAAATAGTCTTGGGTAGTAAAAAAGTTGAAAAAATAGTCATCAGTAGAGCGGCTGATCCCTACAACTATTACCTTTTTTTCTTCCTATTTTTGTTCTGGTGTGCTTTTGTGTGTATTTTATAGTTATGCTTTCTTCTGCACAAAAACCAATCTTTTTTTATGTGGTACCTTGATCTTTTAACCTTAAAATGAATAGGGTTCTTCCCCATCACCAATAGAAGTGACCTATAGCTTCTGGTCAGAAACATACTTTCTGTACATAAAGTAGGTGTCTACAGACAAATGTACGAAGTCATTGGTCAAGGAAGTTAAAAAAAAGTTTACTATTTTATATAACTAGATATTATTGGTTTTAATAAAAAACTTTTCAAAACTAAAATTAACAAATTAAGCTTAATAAAAAGTTGGTACAGAACAGATTCTTTATCTAAGATCAGATAACATTCAACTTGAAACTGAACAGAATTTATATGATGCAGGATTAGAGTCCAGTCCAGGGCTCTATGATTTTTTAAAATTGTCAAATACCCCATAGTGAGCTAAGAAATACAAAATTATACCAAATTAAATATACATTTTTCTAACCTCACCTGCATTTAATTAAAACACACTTATACATAACTTACGTGAGATAACACTAAATATAGATTAATGGTTGTTTTAAAATTAGTGTTAACATGCTATGGTAGTGAAGTCATAGTGGGAAAATTAAATCAAATAATCAATAAATAAATATAATAAATATAAATATAATAATATAATAATTAAATAATAAATATAATAAAAATAAATCAATATAAAACTAATACATCAGTAAAGCTACATTTCACACAAGACATATGTAAGGTCACACATACATATATAATTTTTTTAGATAACAAAGGGTCGAGTACGTTATATTAAAGTAATTTTAAATATGCAAATCAGCAAGTTATTTGAAAACTTCAGTCAATATAAAGTCACAGTGGAATGACATATATCAGAACTACAATTTTTACATTGTTTGGTGTTTTGTAGGTAGTGTGATGCTGACAAAAACTGATTGCTTTTGGGAAAAATAAGTAGAGGCACAAAATATTCATACACTCAGATCATAATTGTTACAAGATACCACACTTACCATGGGTGGGTTACTGCCTCTTGCAGGCCTCTTTCTGAGTGCTCATGGTCCCACAGATTGATCTATATTCCTTTGTTTTACAATGCTAGTAAGTAGAAGGGATATCCCTGTCATGAAAATTCATAATTTGAAACAAGCACGAAATATCATTTTATTCTCAAGCAGATTGAAGTATTTTGATGGTTGAAGGAGATGTGAAAATAGCTTGTATATACACGACTTGTGTTGCTTTTCAAAACAGGATATCTTTCTTGATTATGTTGCCTATGCACTTGGTGGATTGCTTTTTCTACTGCCTTTTGTGTTTGTGAATTCTTTGCTATGTCACAAGGATTTTATATCAAAAGCACACTTCTATTCCTTGCTTGTTTGCTATAATCCATATAGTGTATGAGGATGATGGTTTTTCTAGTGCATCTTTCAACATTCCAGTTGCACTGAATTCTGTTGGTGCTACTTCTGATGACTTGACCAGCATGTTGTCGAATTCTTGCAGATCTGTTTTAACGTACCTAACTTCTATGATCTCGATATATTTTTTTTAAAACGGTGTCTTTGGTTATTATTTTAGAATTTCTCAGAATGCCGATATACCGAAAATACATTTTATAAGCAAATTCTTCAATTCTGAAAGTACTTATGTCATTGTTATTGGTATCTTCTGGTAAGAAAATATTCTGCACGCTAGAGAACAACACTATGAAAAAAACCAGTGCTCTTCTGCCAGAAATAATAAGCAAAACTCACCTCAGAACCCCACATCAGTTTTCTACTCCTCTCCAGAAAAAAATATTGAATAATAACCTAAGAGGTTCTAAATTATTTTGTTACCATGTACATCTCAAAGACAAAAAAGTGTAGGTGTGTCAAGTTGACAGGAAATGCCAATAACACGGCACACATGCATTCATGTATTACCGTATCCAATGATATAAAACTGACCTGTCTTGACTAGGTTTTAGTGGACTAGTATTTTGTAAAATACAGTGACATTTCAGTTATAATACATTATATATGTATATACATTATTACTATTTACAGATAAGTTCTTAAACTTATTTTTCTTAAAGAAGTAAAGCCAACAATTATCTCTTCTAGTTACGACCTTTGTACTCATTTGCTGCTTGTCGTAGGTTGCTAAGCCTTATAAAATTTTGCATGTTGAGGATGTGAAATTAAATATTTTTTTTAGGTTTTATATATACTTTTGAATAACTGAAAAAATCATAAATTACTACATCAATACCATAAAATTCTACTATAATTTATCAAATTTAGTAACTAAGCTATCTTAGCAAATAGAAAAGATAAGACCTTCTTATTTTATATTCTAGCTTGTCCATATTGGTAATTTGAGTTTCTAATTCGTATGAAACTATAGACTTAGTATTTTGACTTCACAAAAATCGATGTTTATCAGTGTTTGTTTAATATTTAATTTTAAATTAACAAATTGAGTAATGGATAATTCTAAAATTTGAATTATAATCTACAGTTTAATACCAAACTTATTGACATAAATTCATGAAACATTAGTTCAATAAAATTTTGAACGAGAGTCAACAAACGAGATAACATGGCTTTTCACCTGTGACTCGCATCAAAAGGGTTAAATCTCCCCTTCCTTTAATACTGTACTTTCATGTCCACAAAGAGAATTAATAATAGAATTTTATGCTGTGTATTTTTTTATTTTTCAGGGGCAGTAAAAACGAGTAATAAAGTTATGTATGTACTGCACCAGCTGCGCCTAAGTCAAAAGAATTAAAGATTAAAACTAATACATTGTATGATGATAGGAGGAAACAACAAAAACTTACCACCATAACAAGCCCAGTGAAGAGGGGTAAAACTTGCCTTGTCTAACAGCCCGTTGGTCGAATGAGATTGTAGAAGGGCTCCAAGAACTCCCACGTTACCGCACGCAGCAGCAAGATGAAATGGTGTTTTTCCAAGGACATCTCTGTGGCCCCCGAAAGCTCCATTTTGAATTAATGCATGTACACACTCTTCGTGCCCAGTCACAGCCTTAACAAAGAAAAAAATATGGAGATTAAAATTATCAAGTATAAGCTGGACTTAAATCTTAACATTTTTGTTATTAGCATATAAAAATTATATCTTAACTGCTAAAACAACAAACATTTTCCTGTTTTTATTTTGATACACAACATGTCTCATAAACAATAATTAAACAGGGACAAAGTAGTCTTGTAATGATTCATTCAAATAATGATATGTGAAAAAGCTTTAAACACTTACTATAATAAGCTAAGTAACATCTATACATTTATCTAGCTATTTAAATGGAAGTTGAATACTCTATGTTAAAACAATTATGGACTTTCACCACATTGGCAGTCCATGTTGGAATATCCAGTCATACACTATCTGAAAACAGTGCACCACGACCATAGCTCTGCATAAATATTTCCATTACAAAAGGCCCTGTTGTAGGACTGTCATGTTCAAAGCAAACCAATCATCCCTGTAAACTTTCAATAACCCATCTACTGTTCATGGATAATGGTGCACAAGCACTTGCTTCATGTGTTTGATTACACAGAAATCCATATGTTCTGCAACTGGCAAACTGACCAGCATGTTGTCTAAATATGGAATAATATGAATATCCATTTCAGTCACCATCTGCTTGACATAATCTTGGTGAACTCATACTCTGTTGGCCTCATTTTCAGACAGAAATCTTTTCTGATTATGTTGTTTCCATTAGGCATGGGGCACATGAATGTCTTTTGCCACTAATTTGTGTGTTTGTGGCTTCTCATCTGTTATGTTATGCCTCGCTTTGCTTACCAAGGCTGGGATATGACTTGTTGCAGGTCTCTTTCAGAATGGTCTTGATACCCCAAGGTGATAAAGTGATCCACATTTCTTTGTTTTCCAATGCCATTAAGTGCAAAGTATATCCCTGATTTGGCAATTCTAAATCCTTGATTTTATCACATTCTTAAGAACTGAGTGTATGAATATTTCGTATCAGAAAAAGCTATTATACAACCTTCTCAAAAGTGTTAATTTTTTGGTGGCAGCTCACTGCTTACAAAACATCAATGTCAAAATGTAGTACTGGACTTTATATCAACTGTGGCTGTCATGTAGCTTGCTAAATTGTACATTCAAAATTGTTTTAATATAATATACTCAACCTTCCATATAACCTACAAGATTAAGATTACTATTTAACAAAAAAAATTATGAACTATAACTGCTAATTTTATCAAATTATACCAAAACTAAAAAGGTACTTTTCATACAGTCACTTTCCTAGCCAACTTAAAAGGAAACAAGAAAAGCTTTTTACATTTATACTTATAACTTTAAGTAGTATTGACCTATTTAATATTAGTATGCTTATCAAAATATTAAGGACCGCCTATAGATTTTACTTACCTGAGATCAGTTATCATTTTTAAGTTCTCATGTTTTATTAGACCTTTACGTATCAACTTTAACATACTAAACATCTGTCCTTTAAGAATATGTCAGAAAACATCATTAACAGTAAGGGTACCCAACTAATAAAACAATGCATTCTAATCTTTGTAAGATCATAACAAAAGTATATTTAATTAGCTATACTCATTACCAGGTTAATTTTCAATTTCACTATAAGAAGGCAGTTTGCTCTGGTCTCAGGTTTATATTAATTAAAGTTTAGAGGATCAGTGAAACCGAAATTAGTAAATATTTTTAATTTTCTGTTTGGTTGGATGAACCAAAACAAAGCTGTTTCATAAAGCTTAGAATAAAATATGAATATTTATAAAGAAAATCTCATTTCATAACAAACATTAAAATAGAGTACAGATATAGTTGGCAATTGGAGCTTTCTAGCATCAAGTCCTAATGGTAAAGACAATTCAAGGGTCTTCTGAATGATCACAACAAATAAAATAAAGCCTGAAAAGTTATCTGAATATTCAACAAGAGAAATAAAGCTGTCTCATGCATTCTGGTTGAAAATTAAACCTAAAACACCAAATCTTTAACCCTCTCGCTACTGGTAGGTCAAAGTGCACATATTATGACCTTTTAGACAGTTACATTCAAAATTTAAATTACTTTATTACTGATTTATATGAGTCAACTTGGCATCAAAACATAGTTAATAAATCAAGTTTTAATATTATATAAGTTTTAAGTTCTAAATTTTATAGGGAAATATTTGAAAAAATCCCCAATCTTCCCTTATATGAGAATTGTATTTACTACCCCTCTGAAGTATGATTTAATGTAAATTGCTCATTATAATATAGATACTACTAAGGCAAAGTTTAATCTTTATACCTATTAATCTTACTTGTTTATGGAGTCATAAACAAGAAAATTAGACCCACTTGTCATGACCACCTATCACATCCTTTCTTTCACAAATTGCCAATGGTTCTCTCTGACTTTTTATACTATATTATTTATAACCAATAGAAAGGCCAAGTTTTAATATATCAAATAATGTATTACTTTATTATGTATTATTACTGTCTATTTCATCTTCAGTTTGAAAGTTTCTCTCACAGCGTTCATATCGAGAAGCTTTCGGAATCTTTTTTTACTCTTCTGTCATAGTTAGAAAGCTAGTCAAACTATGATAGTTATAGGACATTACTTGCTTTGTGCATAATATTATTCTGTATTTTTTAGTGCATTAAGTAAATAATAATTACTTAGATGTGCTAGTACCATAAGTATAACAAAAGTAGGCTTAAATTCTCTCCACAAATGACAGAAAAAAAGCAAGAGGTCAAAGGTGAAGTACTAAATTCCTTATTTTTCATGCACATTTTTCATTTATTATTATAAAAGTAAGTAAAATGTAAGAATCAAAAACTTATTAGTCAAGACACGGTTAGATTAGGTAAGATAATGAAAAATAATAATTCTTCACGAGGTATGTTTGTAAGCTGCTTGTTTGTTACGTCATTCAGTAAGGTAACATAAACTATGTGTTCTCCGAGTGATATACAACTTGTGTGGCGGGATTATTGGTTAGGCATGGTTTGAAGAGCAATAAATTTAAGTATAAACAGATGTAGACTGTTATGAGCTATAAGCTATTTAGGGTAAATAATTGTAGTTTCTTGTTACAATCTGTAATCATTTCATAAAGAAAAATGGGTAATTTAGACTTATTTCATTTTTTTTTTATGGTGGTTACAAAGTCGGTCAAATTGACCAAATCTGTATTGAGTTTGGGTAGAGAAAATAACAAATAAAATATAAAAGTTTTACTTACAAATAAAAAAATTTCCTATTTATTTAAGAGGTTTTAGAGATTATGTAAACAAAATTTGAAAATTTTCAGATGAAGAAAAGTATTTTTAACCCTAACATGAAAATAAATTTGCACTTGGAGCAGTCAACACTGATTTCACATATTCATAGACAAATCTTTAGTAAAACTACTTAATTTGATTTTTGTGTACAAAAAACTTGTAGTGTATACTGAGAGCTTGCCAATTTTTATGAAGATACACTAAACATCAATTTTACAGTACAGAAAATTTGATGTTTACTTTATAGTTACGAAGTTGGTAACATCGAACTAGCCCATATAGAAAGAGTTAATCTATTAACACAGTGTCTTTATGAAATAAATATCAAGGTATGGTGTGACAAGGTCTATTTATTTACTCATGGAAGAAATGAATTTTTTCACGTAGTTATTAAAACAACAAATTTGAGCTCATTAGTTCTTCGATATGTATCTTTGATATTTAACAACTGTAATTTGAATGTAAACTATTTCTGCTTTAACTGACTCTGACTCTTAAAAATACATGCAAAGTCTAACACTTCACACTGGAGTATTTGTTAATATTAACAGTCTCACCCCTCGAAATAGCGCAGTTCTTCTATTTGTATCTACAGCAGTGACAGAAGCTCCATGCCTAAGTAATAGCAGTACACACTCTGAATGTCCATAGAGGGCAGCCTGCATCAATGGCGTTCTACAAAACAAAATTTGTTAGTATGAGTACACAGTGACCTAAAACCAAATTACAGACTAAACACAAAAATTTAATATGTATCTCAGGTCTCATTATCACAGATCTCTTTCAATAAAGACTTGGCCACACAGAAACATATATCAACTCCAAGTTTCTAAACACTGGTCACGCTATTTACTTAAAACAGATTTAATTTATGCACAAGAGTAATTAATAATTAGCTCTTTTCAACCTGATGTCATTATAAAGGCCACATCTGAATTTGTATCTATGGAAATTGACAACTCATAAACAGAACTGCATCACAAACACAGACATTTAAAACAAAGCATGATAAACAAAACATTTTTGAGCCCAAATTATAATTTTTTGATAAATTAACAATTCATAATGAAAGAAAGAATAAATAAAAAACTACATAACATAGCTATAAACTATGCCACTATGCAATATGCCCATAACCACTGATCTCAAGGCCAGGTTCCACACAAGCTATTAGCAATAAAAAAAAATCAGCTAAAGAACCAATACAATTAATTTATTACCTTTACACACAGCATATAAAAAATGCAAAACCCTAATACTGTTAGATTATATAAAGCAATGCAATCAAGAAAGGTTAATTATGTAATACCTGAAGGTTTACAAATTTATGACTGAGAAAAGTGAGCTCTGTAGTAAACAAATTGCAAAGAAAAGAATAATCATAGCTTTTGGATGATATACTTTTGTCAGCTTTAGAAGTTTGGAAATTTTAAAACAAAAAATACAGTCAGCTGAATTTTACAGTGACACTTTATCAACTTCAAATGTTCACTCTTTTCAAACAACCTGAACCAGAAATATTAAAGCAATAAATATGTATAAAGACTATGGATTTGCAGTTATATTTTATGTTGAGAAGTTTTATCTATGTGGTTTAAATATTTCTACACTTAAAATAGAAAAATTGTGACAAAAACTGAAATAAGGCTTAGCAGTTTGGATTTTTTATATTACTTTTTCCAAAACAAATATTAATAAAATAAGTATTAATCAACTCAATTATAATTCTGAGCATTATATTTATAGTTTTATTTTGTATGTGATCTAAGGGAACAGATTAGACTGATTTTTTGAAAGCTTAATGATGCCTTTTACTCTTGTAAAAAAACACAAATATGAGACTGGAAAGGGTTAAATGTGTTTACTGAATACACAAAAAATATATTATGGATAACAAATATAAAAAAGTATGTAAAAATATCTTAGTAGAAACTGTGTATAATGATGGCAACTTTCTATAATTGTTAAGTGTATGTATTGTTTGAATCATATTTATAACAACATCCATTGCTGATAACCCACAACAACAAGCAAAAATCTGTTACGAAGTAGCTCACACATTGTCCATGATATTTCTCAACTTGTTAACTCACATTGCTGTTATAACGTTAGCTTTCTTTACCAGCAACATGTTAAAAGTAAAAGACATAATCTTACAGAATAAAACTAAATTACAAGTGAACAGCGGACCATTAAATTTTAAATAATATTTTTGCACAAGCTTTAAAAATTAAAAAATTACAAAGAACATGCTCATATGAATGACATTTTCATTAAAACAAGCTTTTACTGCTTACCGAAAATTAACTTTAAATCCGGCCACAAAAAGATATTTAAATCCAACAGTATGACTTCCTATTTTCAGCAACTTAAAGTACTTTTTACATTCAAACAATTTTCAGTAGATTAATTAATGATAAGCATTGAGATAGAATATATTTTTAGGTTTATTTTTTTTTTAATTTCACACAAAGCTACAGAAGGGATATGTGCACTAACAGTCCCTAATTTAGCAGTGATTGACTAGAGGGAAGAGAGCAAGTCAACACCACCCACCACCACCACCTCTTGGGCTACTCTTTATCAATGAATAATGGAATTGACTTTTTACATTATAATGCCCCTATGGCTGAAAGAGGCAAGCATGTACAGTGACAGGGATTTGAACCCGTGACTCACAAATTGCCATTCGAGTACTCTAACTACCAGGTTTTACATTTTTAATAACGTACATTTACAAACATAAATCACAGAGGTAATACACATAACTATTACCAAGCTTTGTATTGCACTAAGAAATGTTGTAATAAAAAATTAAATTTCTAAATCAATATCATAGGGGACATACGTATAAACAACCAGTTTAGATTTACACAACTGTTTTAGCTATTGTAACGTTAAAATGATCTATGAATCGGGCAACTCCATACCACTGACAAATTCTCATTATTAGCAACAATTTGAACAATTATTTATCGGACAATTTATATTTCTTGAATTATTTTTAGGAACTGAAAAATTACTGCTGTCAATAGATTAATATATTACAAGACACATGAAAATATGTGACAATTTTTAAAAGGTTACACGTGATTTATTTTTGTAACATATAGTATTTATTTAGGTATTAGAAAAAAAAATTCAGTGCTATTCTCTTATGCATTACTTTGTGAACAAATGTTGGCTATTAAAGTACAAACCTTCCATATCTATCAACAGCATCAACAACTTCACAGGAGTTATTGTGTTCAAGGAGAAGCCGTAGACATTCTTTCTGTCCTTGAGATGCTAAAAATTAAGTGATAAGAAGCGTGAGGTTTTATTATCCCACTTACACTGTAAATGAATTTTGTACGACATATAATTGAGTACAAGTTAATATTTTTTTCTTTGTAACTTATCAGAAGGTAATATTCTTCTAACATCAAAAGTGTATATAATATTTTTAACATGAATTGTACGAGTAAACTTTTCTGTTACGTATTAGAAAATTAAAAGATCCTAACAATGATAAGAGAAATTTCTGTTATAAAAATACTGTTATTTATATACAAGTGTACAATGTAAGCAATATTTATTCTAAACAGAAATAGAAGATAATAAAAACTGTTCACTTTATATCCTTGTCATATAGTTATCACATAACATAGTTATCACTTAATAACTTAAAATCCAATCGATTCTACTTCTCTTTCTGTATTTAACATTGTTGATTCTGAACTTTTACTTCAAAGAGATCAATGGAGTTAGAAGTTAATATGTCATTTATTTCACTGTTTTATTGTAAATAATTATGGAAAGACAACAAGCGGATTGCATCTGAAGGGCTAACATTAATAACAAGCTTGAGGCTTTGAGACTGTAATCTGCTGATTCTGGAGTTTCATGTGTGTGTGGTAACATTGGTGATAATTTATTACTGTTGTTTGCATTACTTGTAAACAAATGAGAAAAGTTTACTTATTAAATAGTATCACAAAGGCAAAAGACGTTAGGTTAGCAAATTCAAAGCAACTGATGCTAGATG